AGGACAGAGACAAATGATACAGGTAACATCAGAAGAAGAGATACCTGTTGACCTGATTGAGGAAGTTAAACGGGCCCAGGAGGAGGCATCCCCAGAGGAAAAGGGGTGTGGAAAAACAAAGGAGCCTGGCAGGATGGACATTTGTGGAGGGGGCCAGACGGGCGCCCCGTGCTGACAGCCAAAATGGCAGAACAAAAGGTGGATGAAGCCCACGGACTTGCCCACGTGGGGAGAGCCCAGATGGAAAGAAATTTGTGTGTCATTGGTGGCATCCTGAGCTGCGAGGAATGATAAGGGAGAAGGCCAGGATGTGCTTAATCTGTGGGGCACACAATCCTAAGCCAGCAGTAAAACCGGAAGTGGGTAAGTTTCGGCCCCCTGAGAGGCCGGGAGAGGAGATTGTTATTGATTTCACTGATATGATTGATTCCGGGCCGGGCGGTGTAAGATATTTGTTAGTGTGTGTTGACGCTTTGACCGGCTGGCCAGAGGCCTGGGCTACAAAAAAGGAGGATGCTAAGACTGTCATTAAGTGTTTAATCAATTATTACATTCCCCGTCATGGGTTCCCGAAAAGAATTAGATCAGATAATGGAACCCATTTTAAAAATCAAGATTTGGAAAAAGTAGAAAAAATGTTGGGCGTCCAGCATAAATTTGGAACGGTCTATCATCCTCAGTCTCAGGGGAAAGTAGAAAGAATGAACCTAAATTTGAAAAACAAATTGGCAAAAATCTGCGCGCAAACAGGGCTAAATTGGGTCGCAGCCCTGCCGGTTGCGTTGATGACCATAAGATGTTCTGTTAATCAATCCACAGGTTTTACACCATACGAGCTGCAAACCGGGAGACAGTTTCCGGCACCTTGGACGGTGGGCTCGGGTGAACGGGACAAAAAGGGGAACCGGTCCCACGCAGACTACTGGAACGAGCTAAAGGCGCTAGTGTCCAGTTTCACGAAACAGGCGGCTTGTAAGGGGCCCACAGGAGAAGGAGAGGTCCCGGACGCGAAAACAGTGTGGCTGAGAGTCATCAAACGAAAGTGGAAGGAGCCCCGCTGGACTGGTCCATATGAGGTATCGGCTCGGACGGCGACAGCGGTCCAACTGAAGGGGAAAGGCGACACTTGGTATCACTGGACGCAGTGCGCAGCTGCGCACGAGGGCTTGGTGAGGAAGGATCAATCTCAACTCGACGCAGGTGAAATTGAGCGGCACAATAATCCCTCACACCTGTGCAACGGACCGACCGGTAGTCTACCCGGAAGGTCAAAGAAAGAGGAGCACGAACCAAGAGAGAGGCGAGTAGTGTCGGTGGACTACACCACCCTGAAACCTCAGGATTTGATTGAACGTGCTACCGGGTTCAGTGACAGTAACATCTGGCTGGACTGGATAGCCCAAAATGCTAGAGAACAAAAAGTGGCTAATTGTGTAGCCTGCGCTTCAGCAAGGCCGCGTTTATTTATAGAGCCTGCACCTCTGCATCCAGAGGATCAGTGGGGCTATAATTGTGTGTTGCAAATAACTAGAGGAGCTGTGAATACGGGGAACTGCACTGTGTTGTCCAGTCTATTTCCCCCTATTGGCAAGCTGACGCAAGTAGGGCCGTTTATGCCCCGGAAAGATAATTATACGTGCTTTAAGTTTACCACAGATAAAGTTAAATATCGGTTGGGGGAAATTGACCCCAGTTGGTGTTCGGTCACCCAGATTGGGAGGACCACCAACAATGTGAGTGATGCAGCCACCCTAATTGGGACTTGGGCTAGGAGCGGGCTGTATTACTATTGCGGGCACAGGACTCTACTGGTACGTGTTCCTCTTGGGAGCGTGGGGACGTGCGCGATGGTGAGACTAGGAGCGCCACTTATGCTAATCGGAAATAAGGTAAAATCAATTCCCTCACACAATACGCGCACTTTGGCAGCCAGGCGCAAAAGACACATTTTGAGAAAGAGAGGAATACAAAACACAAATGTTTATGACCCTAGAATGAATTCCCCCACCTGGATCGACTCCATTGGAGTGCCCAGGGGGGTTCCAAATGAGTTTAAACTTATTGACCAAATAGCAGCCGGGTTTGAAAATATTCCAATAATTTCTGCTTTCTTTCCAGTGACTCCAAACAAGAATGTAGATAGGATTAATTATGTTCATTACAATGTACTGAGGCTCTCTAACCTGACCAGAGACGGATTGGAGGGGCTAGCGGAGCAGGTGGGTCCGACCTCGTTAATGGGAGTGCAGAATAGAATGGCCCTTGACATGTTGTTAGCGGAAAAGGGGGGCGTATGTGCTATGTTTGCTGACCAGTGTTGCACCTTTATTCCAAACAATACTGCTCCAGATGGGTCGGTAACCAAGGCTCTGGAGGGTCTAAAGAGCCTTTCTGAAACTATGCATGATCACTCCGGTGTTGGTAATCCGTTAGAAGGCTGGCTGACCTCAGTGTTCGGACGGTGGAAGGGGGTCATCGCTTCGGTCATGTTTTCTTTGTCTATTGTGGTGGGTATTATGGTTATTTGTTGTTGTCTCATCCCTTGTGCCAGACGAATGTTCAAAAGTATGTCTGTGAGGGCAGTGGACCCTGGAGTCATTACTCCAATGTCCATGATGCCCATGATGCATGTGGAGCTGAATGTGTAGGCCAAGGAGGGACACAACTGTTTGTGACCTCTGGATTCTCCAGAGGTCAACAGAGGGAATTGTAGAATAAGGAGGGGATGTTTTTCTCATTATCATTTAATATTTTAATATGCCATTATTAGTTCATTAGAAGTATATAACCAGCTTTGCATTAAGCATGAATTGAAGTTTTTGATCTTATATTATTCTTTGCATTACAGTGATGGTGATAACTTTAATTTGATCTTTCTTACAGGTATCAGAATAATAACATGATTTTCCATTGCAGATGTAACCATGATCATTCCACACACATTGCAGTTTGTTGCTCATTTTAGAGTTGTGCTCAAGGTAATTAAAGGTTAAAAGCTACAGCCAGTGCGAGTCTGGCTGATCTATGGAGGGCAAAGGCTTTGAGCTTGGAAGGCCGCACGCGCTTACACAGCACTTATAAGATGTCATTCTTGGTGATTTTGTGCTTAGTCATGTTTTAATATGTTTTAAGTAGAAGTAGCTGATCCAGCAATATTCATTTAATATTATATACTTGATTTAGAGCAATACACACTAATGGTCTTAATAAATGAAAGAGTCCTTGTAGTTGCCATGTTGTGTCTTAGCAGGGTACAGACGGTTCCAGGAGAAGGGGGGCAGTTAGCGTCTGCCCTCGGGAAGGAGACAATGTTATTCTTTGTGTTAAATAAAATTGTCAACATTGATTGTATTACACCTGTCACTACGCATGAGGGGGCGTTCTAATACCCTGATTTCATAAAACTATGGAAATGTGTTTTTTGAGATGAGATCTGAGACTGTCTGCATACAGTGTCCATCTCCCACGTGTGTGATCATTAAATCATCGTTTGACTCAACCCGACCGGACCAGTGTTGTTATTGTGGGTTTTTCCTCTGGTGTCCATCTCCAATATTTTTGAACCATAACAGACTGGATGCGCATTAACCTTATAACTCCTGTTGTGTGTGTGTGTGTGTGTGTGTGTGTGTGTGTGTGTGTGTGTGTGTGTGTACAGAGAGACAGCCAGGTTCATATTGGATATGAGGACGTTTTTTCAAAAACAGGAGCCACATTCAGGTAAAAGTGTAAGATCAAATGATCCGTCAATAAAGGATAATGTTGGATCAGTGTTTCAATATTTATATCCTTTATTAGTTGTACATGTGCTTTGGTTATTTGCCTTTTGGTTGAAAGTACAGTGAGAGAGGACTTTTTTATTAGTGATCTTGATATATATATTTTTAAATCTAATTGAATACAATCTATTTGTGTATGATTGTCAGTCCAAAGAGGGAGAGAGGAAAGAGGAGAACATGAGGAGAAAGTACAAGATCAGGAAGAACCAGGTAAGAAAACAGACAGGGAGTACTAACAGGTGTGGAGATACAGAAATTATTTTACTGCAACAATATAACCTGCATTATTAACATTGCATTAATAATATACCTTACAGCATTGATATTGCATTAAAGATGTTTATGAAACTTACTGCTATTAACCTTTTTCTTACAGGTGCAGCCCTAGTCAGTTTATACACACATTGCATGTCTGTGCTTTATTCAGAGTTGATGCTCAGTCTCAGTCTATTGAAGGTTTCAAGCTTCGATAAGCGCGATGTCTCAGTCGATATATTGTGGGTGACTTGGAGCATAGAAGGATAGACACATACACGCTTACAAACACATATAATCCAAAAACCTGCCAGACCAAAGGCCTGAAACTCATTTAGCTTCTGACTGCATTTTAGTCTACTTGGTAACAGATGACAGAAGACCCGTCAAGAAGAGGACAAGCCCTCAGGGACCATGTAGGCTTGAAATTTATTGCCATGTATGGAAGGTGTTATAGAAAAGGGAACTTTGGTGTCTGTTTTTAGCCATTTAAGATGTACCATTTACTGCAAATCGATGTATCTGATCTGTAATCGAAGCGAGAAGGGGCGTGAACCCTGATGTTATAAAACACTTCCACGTGTATTCTTAGCAGGAGACGTTTTGCTGGTGTGGTGCTGTATACTTCTCCTCCTGCGTGTGTTTAATAAACTCCTTGTCTGATTGCACTCTCCTGAGCCTCTGTTGGTTTGTTCTGTTGCTCAACATTTTCGAATTCGGGACACAGGCAAAACAGAAACTGTTAAACTAATTTTACTCGTACAATCTGGAAGTTGTGTTCTCCCTATATTAAAGCTGCTGTACAGAATCTGCAAAACAAACTGGGTTGTCAGCCCTGGCACTGCATTACCATATTGAGCTTCAGTCAGAGGAAGTCACGGTTGCCAAAAACTTTTTGAAGCTCAAGAATGAGGCTGGTGCCATCCCAGATATGTTAACATTGTACAATCTTCTGGATAATCAGATCGTCCCCACACTGAAAACTGTTATTCAGGTTGCCCTAACAAACCCAGCTAGCAGCTGTAGCTGTGAAAGGGCTTTTAGTGTCTTGAGTCAGCTCCATACCTGGCTGAGAAGGACCATGGGTCAAAGCAAACTCCAGCACCTGGCTGTGATGTCAGTTGAGAAATGCTTGAGAAACTTGACCACCAAAATGTGATAGACAGATTTACCAACCTCAAGGTGAGGCGACATAGGATAAAAGAAAAGAACAAATCTGCAGAGCCATAGTAGTATCTGCAGTAAAGATCTTTTCATACATTGTATACATTGTACCAGAGGCCAAGGTGTCTCAATTTTTCTAATTTTGTAATAATATTTTGTACATTTCAAGGACTCTTCTATTTTTGGAGTGTAGGACCCAGGCACAGAGAGACTTGATGAATTTAAGAATCTCATGATTTAATAAAGAAATTTGCAGACTTGCACAGAGAGGGTACAATTATGATGAGTGATAATGGAGATGAAGACAACAGACGATGAGGACAGGGAGGAACAGGGGTTTAAATGCACCAAGGAGACAGTCAGAGGGAACTCGGGACAACTGGAGACATTTAAGGATGCAGGGACTGACAGAGACGGGGAAGAAGTCTCATCGTGATGACTAAAGTTTACCTTGCCAGGGTGGGCAGCTCTCTGGGTGCTCAGCACCCCCAAAGCTCTGATCCTAGAATTGCCCCTGAGTGTAACAGAGGGAAGTGAACACACATGGAGAAACAGCGGACACAATTGACCATAATGGCACCACAGTGGAAATACGCACATAGAACATGGAAACAAGACTTTCAGAATAAACAGGAAACAGGACAACAAGAACCACACAGGCAAGAACCATGATAGGTAGACACACAAACCAGGGAGACTTACTACAGGGGCAGATGACACAAAAGGATCTAAAAAACAAAGGACTAAAATGGCAGAAATGAACTAGATAAGCTAAACTGAAACTAGAACACAAATGAATAACAAAATACAACGAAACTGGGTCACCCAGTACCGTGACACAACCCATCATTATACGTGATTGTGAATAAGAGAAATGGTATTAGGTATTTTTTTTTTCTGATAGTCAATTATGCTTAATTGCTTAATACTGATCAGAATATAATCAGGTATGTTTAACCGTTTCACGCATAGTGGTCACTACAGTAGACAGCTATTCAAGGGCTATTTTCTTGTATTTGTGTCAGTGTCGATGGTATACTTGCACATAAACCACTACACTGGACATTGATGTCTCACTCTATACACTATAAATTGTCCACCTAAGTGAACATGTAAAAAACTCTTTAAAAAGTACATGTTTAAAAAATGAAGTTCTAAAATGTTCTTTTTATGCCTAAAGATGAATAAAAAATGCTTAAATATATATCTAGAATATCTAGAATATGAAAATATCAGAAAAAAATGTAAACAAAAAAGGAATTATGTTATTTTTTACTTAACCTTTTGTACTATTCTTCATTGTGTTCTTCTTCCCCTTAACTCTGATTTCCAGCTTCCTGAATTCCTGAAAGTTGTGGTGGTGGTTAATTTCTGATGTTTTCAGTTTGTTGTTTTCTGGACTGATGGTGTCCGTTAGTTTACATCACCTTCATATGACTTCAAATATTAATCACTTTTTCTTTCTTTTTTTTTTACACACATGCTTTACTCTGTGACTTTTGAGCATGTTTTTCTTGGTTTTATTTTGTGCTTTGTAATGTTTAATGAAGAATAAACCATATTCCATTTTATCTATTGTTGCATGTTCATGTTTTTCAATATTTCAAATTCAGATTTTTTGCTGAACCTTTTCAGGAACTGCTATATTTAAATTTTGGTTAACAGCCCCATCTTCTGACCAGTATTAATATTTTCATTGACTACTGAGTCACAGTCTGTTTAAATATCTTTGATATAAAGGTCTGTGTTAACTTGAGTTGAAAGCAAGCTGTCTCTGGCACAGATGATTGTTGTAAGTCTTTGAATTAAACCTTTTCCACACATTTCTAACAACAGAAAGATCAAACTAATAAAACTCTGAGCAATTCCACTAATCTCGATCAAATATTCAAAATCATTTTTTCAAAGCAGCATTTACTACATTTGTTCACCTTGGCATGCTGGCCTGCAAAATCCAGACCTGATTACCAATTAGTCTTACTTGTGTTGCAATTGAATTGCAAGAACTTTGGTCATGTATCAAAATATAAAACAGGCCGTGAGTATATTGCAGTGGTAATAGGAAACAGAAGGAAATTAGCATAGAATGTGTAACATGGCTTCATAAAGCAAAAACATACATGAATAATTCTGATGGTAGTTTTTTAAATTTTTTTATTTTAAAACATCACTGTGTAAACGATTGTGTAAGACATTAAATATGGTTGAATAACACACTTTTTTTGTTCTTTATTTCATTTTGCATAAATGCTCAAGACTAATCTATAGTTATTCTCCACAAATACCCACACCCCATGAAGGTCAAACATCCTTCAACTAGACCTGTGCTGATAGACCAATATCATATAACTTGACTGATGTTGTATTTGATAACCCATAACAGCTCTTAACAAAGGTAATAATAAAGAAAAATGATATTGAGTATAAATAATGAACAACATAGTTTCAAA